AAATAACAGAAATGCTGTTATAAGCTATGAGCATGTGTGATATAAGCAAATTATAAACATGCATAAGATGTTTTGAACTGAAACATTTAGTGTATATTATTGGTAGCATCTTTGTCATCCTAATAATAACAATAATAATAACAATAACAACATGGTCAGGGGCTGATGGATGGATGGAGCTCTCTACCACGTTCAGCATGTTGGCATCCTAACTGCCTAATGTGCAGTCTTACTACATGGTTGTTACTACATGGAGTAGTAATGTCATATATTTTGTTGCTTGTGTGTGACAAGCTAAGGAGACTTGTTGAGTTATAACAGATGTCCAAGCTCAGGTTAATGCAGGAAATAGAGTTTGCATTGCTTTGTAAGTGTCAACTACATAACTTGCCTGATAAGGTATACTCCATAGATTCAATTTTTTAGATGACAATGCCAGAGGAGTTCCTAGTGTTAAAACGTCTTAATGAACTATTTGAATTACCGTAAGAGTGAATGGTGAGTTTGTTACACCAGTACATTACTTTACAGTGTTTGGAGTCAGCCAGTGAGGTAGTTAGTGAATGGTGAACACATGTAAACACAGAGTGGGTCGGAGTCACTAGTTGGACCTCCTATCAATTGGCATTAACAGTATATGCACATGGTTTTTGTCATACAACATTTCTGACCCTGTCATGGTTGATTTATTGTAATGTTTTATTACATTAACTATATGTTCTATTTATTTGGTAATTTTTAGGGAATATTTTCTCTGCTTTTCACAGTTGTCACATGTAACACAACACTTTTTGGGTTTCAATTGCTGCTTTTATAACAACATATAGGCTACTGTTAAAATGTTCACACCAGGCCAAAGGTATGGAATAGGAGAACAAAAGCTATTTCTATAAATAACATTAGTATATATATTAATTTAGGAAATTAAATAGTGAACTTTATTAATGTTATTATGTTATAAATAATTGAATGGTTTAATGTATTTATATTTAATCAACCCATTCTTTAAACACTATTAACAAGGTTATTGTTAACATCGACACAGTCTTTTAAAAAGGACAAATACAATATATATATTGGTACATACAGTCTGAAATGATATGAAGGCATTCAAACCAAGTGGATTTGCCACGTTCTACCTTTTGCCCTCTAATATAATCTGTGAGACATCTAGTTACTTGTTCCATTTATTAGATTTTTCATGTGTATGTGAATAACAAAATGTGTTTTTGTGTTTCCATATAGACCTATGTTAATTATCTGGTTAGAAATATGTTATTTTTTCATTGCAGAACTGCACTAATACCAGCTTGCAGCTGTTGCACTTGGCTGCAGGTGTGTTAGAATGATCTATCGGAAGCCACATTCCATGTGTTTTTCAAAACATACTTCTATCACCTGCCTTAATTGGGTTTATCTAGAAATCAGCCAACTTTCACACAACCTAATTTAGTAACATTGTGGAAATGCCTTATTTTCAGAATTCCTTTTTGAACCTGTTTGATAATTATTTTGTAGTAGTTTCAAATACAGTTCCATGTAGCAGCCCAATGAACACATTATGGTTGTTTAATTTATATATAATTTATCTGTAAACATGCTCAAAGGGAAGATAAACAATATTTATCAGAAATATACTATGAACAGTTGTTGGAAAATTATCAACATTTATGAATTTGAAAGTATAACCTATGTTTGTTGGTATAGAAATTCTAGATGGTTTTCAGTTCAAATATGTCAATTTTCAGAATTTTGAATGTTAAAAGGTTTATTTTTCTTTAGATTGTTTAGTCTATTGCTGTCGTTTGTAGAACATTGAAACCTTAAACTCATAAAGTTCCTTACAAAATGCCCATATCTGTTTATTTGACACATTTTAAAAACATCATAATTCCTGTTTTGATGGCAGCAACCCACTTGTACATTAAGGATGCTGTCTAGCCTACCCCACACTCTTGCATTATCTTCCCGTTATTTCAAAACCTTATGTAGGCTGCTTCATACCCCTTTGAGTGAGTAAACTTTGAGACTAACCATTGCAGTCACGGGTGAGATATGAGGTGAGATATCTTTTCAAACTTCCCTATCAACTCAGAATAAAGTTTGAAACAAATGTTGCAATATTCTTGAGTGTGTGTCCCATTGGAAATCATGTAAATGTCATGCATCCGGGAAATAACGTTGCGCCTCCGCTGCGTTTGACGCTCCTCAGAGCCTGCGGTGACGTCATTATTCCGCGAAAATACAGCATGGTTCTTTCAGGCTATGGTGCTGAGCCGCTACTGTAGCCGTAGAGTGATTGTCGAATGGTATGCGTTTGCTGATTTACCGTTTTTTTGTGTGCATTTGTTCGAAGACATTGTAAACTTTAACCTTATCGTCATAAGAAATCTACCACTTGGGGATCTTAATTTTCAAAGTGTTGTGTTCTCAAGAGAGTTTAAACACTACATTTTCCATTTGATAATAGCTGCAGCAAAACGTTTGTCTTTGTTGGAAGTAAGAAAACAAATGGGCTTATTGGGCAGTCTTTATTTTTCACTTTGTTAAACATGCTGTCCAAGAAATTGACATAAAAAAGTAATTTCTGATGGCAGTGACAGGTGAATGAGCAAGTCATGAGATGCAGAGGCAATTAGAACACGAACAGCCTAAAATAAGTCCCCATTTTGAAAGCAGAAATATGATAAATAGGTTGAAATATAAATTAATGGATATTATAACAAATGCATATTGTCACCCGAGGAGGTGGTTGAGAAGCATGGCCATCAAGGCGCATCACAAGCGTATCAGTCTGGCGAAGTATAAACTTCCATTGGACATGATTGTGCGCATTTTGGCTCAATGTAGTCTTTAAGATCAGTCATTATAGCACAGATGTGTTTGCACGAGGTATAATTATCATTGCTTATTCTGTTTCTCTGAGGGAATTAATTTATCACAGAGTGATTCATTGAAATGCGTCAGGGACTCCCTACACACTGCCACAAAACGAGCAACTTTCTGGATGTGTAGGCTAGTAGGCTAAACTATTTGTTCGTTGAAAAACCTCCCTTATTGTCTTTGATGTAGCCTACTAAAAGATTGTCTTTCTTGTAGTCCAAAACATTCCGACAGAAAAGGGGGGGGGGGGGGGGGGGTTAATCACTCAGTGCCTCGTTTATGTCGTTTTAAGATTTGTGGTTGTCATAACAACATAATTGGTTATCATGGAACCAATTAAGAAACAGTTGCTTACTGTAATAGCCTCAGCCTAGGCTATATTTCTCTCATTTTGGGGTATAATAAACAAGTTATAGAAATGTTCATCTTCATTGTAGTAGCTTAGTCTGCTTTTCGAACTTCTTACTTTTAAAAGTAAAATAGTTTTTTACTTCAAACTTTAAAACTTGTGTGATGTGGAGGTTCCATCCATTTGGAATGTGTTGCTTTGCCATGTCTTGATTGCTTGATTGTTGGATGTCATTTTACGATTTCTATCTATGCTAGGGGGGCAATAACATCAGCTAATGGTGTGAATTGATAAATAGTTAGTTATTGCAGGAGTTGGACCGCCCGGCCTCTCCGAAGATATCCTATGTAATAGAAGTCTGCCCAGTAACAATCGGCAAGCCTCGGTCACGCGCAGAATACCTATTGGCTATATGCAAATGTTGACAAGGGGAGGAAACTATCTCGAGACAAAAAATGCTTTAAAGAGACATTTCCCACTTCTCTCACAAGTACAATAACAAAAATGTTGCTATTCAGACCAATAGAGACACCCACTCGAATGGAATTTAACAACTTTGAGCGCAGCAAAAGACTGCCCACTCTGCATTTAAAACACAATCCATACCTTTGGGTGTAGAATATAATTAGAGACTAAGTTTTTTTGGCAAACTATCAGCTCTGCTTAGTGCTCCTCCAACATTACACTGTAGCATATTTAACAGCTCTTTATCAAGGCAAGATGCCTATAATTAAGTATTGGACATGGGTCCTATGTGTATATTTCTGCATATGAGTGTAATGATCACAACCTCAACAATATGGATTATATGTATATATTAATACATGCAGTTGTCCAATACAGAGCATAGGCTGTCATCGTGGTGTTATCTATAAGAGAAGTTTGTCGCAACAACTTTTTTATGCTGCATTGCATTTCCTAGAAAGCTATCTCATTCAACCACAAGCGAGCTGTTGCTATATAAAAGATAGTTATGGTAGTCCTTTGTGTGTGTGTGTGTGTATGTGTCGGGGAGGGCGAGAGGGAGGGAGGGTGGGGGCGATTAGAAGTTAATCAAGTGCATTAGAAAAAACAGAGCGACTGGGAGGGAGGGTGGGGACGATTAGAAGTTAATCAAGTGCATTAGAAAAAAAAGAGCAAGCAAATCAACAAGGATACGTTTTTTTTGTTGATAAACTGAAATACATAAATAATATTTGCCTAATGCATGTTTATAAAGTTGTCAAATTGGGTACATTGCTATTCCTGCATGCATAGTTTAGCACTAGACTACATCCCCTCTGAAGGCAGAAAAACTGTAAAGGGATTATTTATGAATACATGAACAATTGTTACAATTATATAGCCTATACTATCCAAGTACATTTTCTCTATTTGTTCATGTGACGCATGGGTGGGGTTTTGATTGTGGTAATAAAGCTTTTTGTCATGATAAAATAAAATAAATATGAAGTATAAAGTTGTCATGTAAAAGTGGAGACAAAAGAGGAACAAATGTTTGAGTAACTGCTCAACATAGTGAGGTCTGCGCTGCTGCTCGCGACACTTGGTCGGAAAAGGCAGGCTTAAAATGTATCGCCAGAAGAAAGTAGAAGCGTACTGAGGGGGAGAGGAAGAAGTTCGCAAGGAGAGGCAGGACTACTCTTGGGAGCCCTGCAGTCTCACTTTTATGCCTCCAAAATACTTTCCTTCCAGTTTCTTTGCATCTAGCAATATTGTTATAGTATTTTCACAAGAATAACCTGACTTTTTAAAAACTGAAACGACCATGGAGCTGCTTTGCCTCGAAATGGACACCATCTTAAGAGCTCGTCCTGATCCGAATCTTCTGTGTGATGACAGGGTCTTACAAAGCCTGTTGACCATTGAAGAACGATTTATTCCCCAATGTTCTTATTTCAAGTGCGTTCAGAAAGATATTCAGCCATTTATGCGGAGGATGGTTGCTACTTGGATGCTGGAGGTTTGTACCGAAACACTCTAGGCAATTTGTTCTCACTACTCATCTCAAAACACTAAAATCTGACTTTTCGCTCTGTCATTTTGTCCAGTTTGCATGGTGTGAGAAAGAGGAGGGTTGCACATCACATTGCCGAATATACAATCCTGATAGCCTATAATTAGCTTCTCTTATTTATATGGTTGTATTTTTTGAACCAAGTCACTGACGATTATGTCTGAGATACATTGACAGGTGGTTACAGCGGTGTAGTCTATCACAAGATAAAGCTTTTCTTTGCATAGGTCTGATCTAGGAAAGGTGCACGGGATTCTTTGTTATTTTTTTAAAAAATTGTCTAAATATTTCCATGCACACGTATGCAGTTCAATGCTAGCCCTTTTCTAGCCTATATTCTAACGCCATGTTGTTTTTTCAGGAACTGTTGCAATTTTTCTGACGATTTTACAGGTCATAAACGCTATAACAGTAGTTGAAACGTGGCAGAAATGAAAGTGCAGTGTCTAAACTACATAGTCATCATTGAAATGAATGCGAAATATTTATCAAACATTTTCTATTTATTTTTTAAATATTGGATCGCGGAAGGGGCGCGGGCCTATCTGTCCCTTTGGTCTCCTCATTGAAATCCGTCACCCAGGAATTAAGTTAGATTTTTTACACTTTGTTTGACATAATCTGTTGGGAATAGTCTGAATAGAAACCTGACCGTCAGAGCTTTATTTTCATGTAAGAGTTATTTTACTATGATTCATTAAATATTTTATATTAATTTTTGAAAATATATTTCGACCTGGCGGTGACGCACTCGAGAGCAGCCATATGCTACTTCGTTTTACATTTGACAATTATTTCGCATTTATCTTCAAATTACATGTTTATCAATTGTCGGGTCTGATGTGAAAGACATTGGTGTTCATTATGATGTGAACATTTTAGGTGTAGACAATTTATTTATATTTTTAAATATTTTATGAAAATATGACGAAGGAAAGAAAAAGAGGTTCGGTACTGTGTTCCATGGGTGTTTTTTGGCTGGGTGATTGTGACTTGAATTCATTTCTTACTGAAGGAATGCGAGTCTATTGACAGCCTGTGCCTGAGAGCTTTTTAAAACATTGAAAATAATCTATTTAGAATTTATTGATGATGTCGCAACAACTCTGGGTGGGGCTCAATTCTTGGCCAGGTCCCAAAGGGTTTCGACGAATTTATATGCATATCTGGCTATTACATTATTTCCTTCATTTCGTTATCATTTTTATGTTTCACATGTATTGAACACATTTTAGGTAATTGAAATAACTGGATTTTGATTATGCCAAATGCTGCACATTGTCACAAGTCGCCTTTCTCTCTAGGTTTGTGAAGAACAGAAGTGTGAGGAAGAAGTTTTTCCCTTGGCGATGAACTACTTGGACAGATTTTTAGCCGTGGTTCCAACCAGAAAGTGTAATCTGCAACTTCTTGGAGCAGTTTGTATGTTCCTTGCATCCAAATTGAAAGAAACTCGTCCATTAACTGCAGACAAACTCTGCATCTACACAGATAACTCCATCAGACCACAGGAGCTGCTGGTAAGCAACAGTTGGTTTCTGCCAACAAAAGTATGAGTTACATTTCAGATTGTTATTGAGGCTTTGTCAAATATGAAACTCATGGCTAATTGTCAATGTTAATGTTATGGGCCATACCTCAAAAACTATTTACATATATATGTTTTATATGTATTCATATTAGATAGGCTACTGTCCATTTTCTCTAAGGATAAACTATTATGGAATATAATTTACTGAAATCATCAGCAAACCTAGATTAAATGTTTGGGCCCCATCACTCTAGGAATGACCCAGAGTGCTTTGTCCCCCAAGAGTTCTGTACCATACTACAGGCAACTGCCAAAATAAAGGAAACACCCACATAAAATGTCTTAATAGGGCGTTGGGTCACCACAAGCTGCCAGAACAGCTTCAATGCGCCTTGGCATAGATTCTACAAGTGTCTGGAACTCTATTGGAGGGATGCGACACAATTTTTCCACAATAGATTCTATAATTTTGTGTTTTATTGATGGTGGTGGAAAACGCTGTCTCAGGCGCCGCTCCAGAATCTCCCATAAGTGTTCAATTGGGTTAAGATCTGGTGACTGAGACACACACACACCCTTTAAACCCCCCATGCTCCTTTAAGACCCCTCTTTCAAAGTCATTGAGATCTCTTCTAGCCATGGTAGCCAAAATTATGGGAAACTGGGCATTTTTATACATGACCCTAAGCGTGATGGGATGTTAATTGCTTAATTAACTCAGGAACCACACCTGTGTGGAAGCACCTGCTTTCAATATACTTTGTATCCTTCATTTACTCAAGCGTTTCCTTTATTTTGGCAGTTACCTGTATATTGGACTGTACAGTAGGTTTTTGTACAGTGGTCTCTATCGCCATCTAGTGGCAAATATCTGCAGTAGAACGAGGTCAGCCGTTGAACTGAAGCCAAGGTTTATAATAATAATAATATGCCATTTAGCAGACGCTTTTATCCAAAGCGACTTACAGTCATGTGTGCATAACATTTTTACGTATGGGGTGGTCACAGGGGATCGAACCCACTACCCTGGCGTTACAAGCCCCATGCTCTACCAAATGAGCTACAGTTTAGATCTGAGGAGTGAGTGATCTTTAGAGGCTTCAGTCTACAGAGAGGAAGACTCACATATTGATGGTCCTGCCAAACAGAGTTTTGTCTTTGACCTCAAGTTTGCTCTACTCAAGGTTTGACATAAATGTCTTCACAGAATGGACACTGTTACAGGTTTTTGTAGATCCCGCTTCAAAAAGCACCTTTTCCAATGTGTTAGAAAACAATGCTTATTACTTGCATACAGTACATTACAATTTTGCATTGGATTTGTTCACTGATTGGATGTCTTGGCTGTAGGCACTCACAACAAGGTTTCACTTGACCTGGTGTGGGCACATCCTGCTTGTCTTGGTTAGGGCTACTGCTGTAGTCATTGGTACCCCAAAGTTAGAGCCTTTGGCAAGCTCATAGGGTCATGGTGGACCAGACGTCTGTTGTTAGCTAGTTCAACCCCAAGTGGTGGTGAACATTTAAATAGTCAGTTTCTCACATCAGAAAAGTATTTCCTCTGCGACGCTACATAAACATTCTTTAGTAAACAACAGTCAATCCCACCCATGTTGTGAAAGAGGCCACATATTATTCAGCTGTGGAGGCTGAGAGCTTGGGGGCTGCCTGGGCCTGGCCCACCTCCTCAGTTGATTGCTGATCCCGATGCTGTGGTACTAAGTATGTATGGGTTTGAGAGGCCAGCCATTGCCTGTGATGACAGGCCCTGCATTAGTGGTCTTAGGAGGAGGGACAGCCTTAGCTCCTATCGCTCTCATTGGTTGTTACTGTATTACTTGCTGACAGAAGCATGATCAACATCAGGTGAAGAGCCACCTTTTGCTGGGAACTGGGCTGGACTGGACAGGACTGGGCTGTATCTACCATACATGTTGTTTAGGCATGGGTCAGAGGAGTACCATGTTCCTGAGATGGTTTCACAAGGCTTGCCTGGGCGTGTTCACAATTAGCTTCTCTATAAGGCAATCTTTTGGCTGACAGATAGATACAGGAAACAGGAGATCAGCTGCTCGGCCCATGTGATCGTTTTTTTGTCCCCATCTTTGGTAACAATTTCTTGTAAAAGAAACCACAATGTCACCCAGAAGGTGGGACCGGAGGCACCAGCAGAAGGAAGTGGGTGCCTGCATGGAGGGTGTGTTGCAAGGTTTTGCCACAGCTCGATTATCTATAGATTCATCTCAGAGATCTAGTGAGAATATATATATGAGATATATATCTAGACTAGAGATATAATCATAGAGGATTCTCCTAATTAGTTGTATAGATATATAAATAGATATATATATATCTAGAGTGTCTGTGGTGATATGATTGTAAAAAATCTAGATCCTATTAATAGAGGAGAATCGATGTGGCGATATTCTAGACCTAGGAGAGAAAGAGAGCGGGAAAAAAAGAGGTAATAATATTATCATAAGCTGTAATGTTGTTTATTATTTATCTTATTCTTCTATCTCTTCTATCTACTATTACTCTCTATCTTTTATCTCTTATATACTCTCTCTCTCTGTCTGTCTCTTCTATTTATATCTCTATATCTATTCTCTCTTATCTATATATTCTCTCTCTGTCTGTCTTATTTTCTATATCTTTCTTCTCTCTATCTCTATATATATCTCCTTATTGTTCTCTGCTGTCTTGTCTGTCTTCTTATCTAACATCTCTCCTCTCTCTCCTCTCTCTCTCTCTCTCTCTGTGTTGTCTTCTCTTTCATTCTCGATCTATCTCTATTATCGCTATCTCTGTTCTTTATCTAGATATCTCTCTATATCGCTCTCTCTATCTCTATCTCTCTCTCTCTCTCTCTCTCTCTCTCTCTCTCTCTCTCTCTCTCTCTATCTCTCTCTCTCTCTCTCTCTTCTCTCTCTCTCTGTCTGTCAGCTGTCTGTCTGTTTTCTACCACAGCAGAAAGCAGACCTCTAATGATAGAGAGGGGAAACACTGCAGAGTGCGGACAAGAGTTAGGTCACAGTCAGGGCCATCTATCTATACGATTCCTCATTGATTCCTTGAATTCTAACCGCAGCATCTATTTTGTCAACGGCCTCTTTCTCAGCGGTATCTGTGGCATTCTTAAGAAGTGACTCACTGAACCTTAGCAGTTTTTAACTGTTTTTGTAAGTTGATAGGGAAACACAACACCCTGTGAAACTGAAGTGGGGATATCATAGGGATGTATCATAGGGATATGAAGTGCTGCTTGCGCCATCTATAGTGTGTGGTCCTCTTTCAGAGAAGAGGAGAGAGAGATACAGTTCACCTGATATTGGGAATGAGATTTGGTCATCGGTTCAGAATTACTGTGTCATGGAGCTTTGAAGGCAGTTAATGGCTGCCACATTGGACCGGCGCCGTCTCATGGCTAAGAACCAGAACCATGTGACTCTCTGAAGGGGAAAATCACTAGCATCCCAGGTCCCAGTCACAAGGACAGTCGCAAACCACACAATTTCTCCCAAATTAGTCACCAGCTCCTTCCGTTACTCACCCTTTCTTCTCTAAGAAACAAGGGCAACCGTACAACTCAAACATAACCTCTCACCCCCCCAAGAAAAATAAAACCATGTAATTTAAGCTAGGCCTATACAGTGAGGGAAAAAAGTATTTGCCCACTGACAAAGAAATGCATGTAAAAAATGCTATGAATTGATTTGCATTTTAATGAGGGAAACAAGTATTTGACCCCTCTGCAAAACATTACTTAGTACTTGGTGGCAAAACCCTAGTTGGAAATCACAGAGGTCAGATGTTTCTTGTAGTTGGCCACCAGGTTTGCACACATCTCAGGAGGGATTTTGTCCCACTCCTCTTTGCAGATCTTCTCCAAGTCATTAAGGTTTCGAGGCTGACGTTTGACAACTCGAACCTTCAGCTCCCTCCACAGATTTTCTATGGGATTAAGGTCTGGAGACTGGCTAGGCCACTCCAGGACCTTAATGTGCTTCTTCTTGAGCCACTCCTTTGTTGCCTTGGCCGTGTGTTTTGGGTCATTGTCATGCTGGAAAACCCATTTACGACCCATTTTCAATGCCCTGGCTGAGGGAAGGAGGTTCTCACCCAAGATTTGACGGTACATGGCCCCTTCCATCATCCCTTTGATGCGGTGAAGTTGTCCTGTCCCCTTAGCAGAAAAACACCCCCAAAGCATAATGTTTCCACCTCCATGTTTGACGGTGGGGATGGTGTTCTTGGGGTCATAGGCAGCATTCCTCCTCCTCCAAACACGGCGAGTTGAGCCACAACACTTTCACCCAGTTCTCCTCTGAATCATTCAGATGTTCATTGGCAAACTTCAGACGGGCATGTATATGTGCTTTCTTGAGCAGGGGGACCTTGCGGGCGCTGCAGGATTTCAGTCCTTCACGGCGTAGTGTGTTACCAATTGTTTTCTTGGTGACTATGGTCCCAGCTGGCTTGAGATCATTGACAAGATCCTCCCGTGTAGTTCTGGGCTGATTCCTCACCGTTCTCATGATCATTGCAACTCCATGAGGTGAGATCTTGCATGGAGCCCCAGGCCGAGGGAGATTGACAGTTCTTTTGTGTTTCTTCCATTCCATTTGCGAATAATCGCACCAACTGTTGTCACCTTCTCACCAAGCTGCTTGGCGATGGTCTTGTAGCCCATTCCAGCCTTGTGTAGGTCTACAATCTTGTCCCTGACATCCTTGGAGAGCTCTTTGGTCTTGGCCATGGTGGAGAGTTTGGAATCTGATTGATTGATTGCTTCTGTGGACAGGTGTCTTTTATACAGGTAACAAGCTGAGATTAGGAGCACTCCCTTTAAGACTGTGCTCCTGATCTCAGCTCGTTACCTGTATAAAAGACACCTGGGAGCCAGAAATCTTTCTGATTGAGAGGGGGTCAAATACTTATTTCCCTCATTAAAATGCAAATCAATTTATAACATTTTTGACATGCGTTTTTCTGGATTTTTTGGTTGTTATTCTGTCTCTCACTGTTCAAATATACCTACCATTAAAATTATAGACTGATCATTTCTTTGTCAGTGGGCAAACGTACAAAATCAGCAGGGGATCAAATACTTTTTTCCCTCACTGTATGTCATTGGCTACTACTAATAGACATTTGGAATGTGCAGTTGAGGATACTGCTCACGATTGAACAAGTTCAAGTTGAATAGTTTTAGGGAAACTGTTGTTTAGTTTATAGTTATGCTAGGTGCGGATATCTTTTTTTTAAGCCTCTCCTTTTATGCTGTTCACATCAAACATTAGGTATACACTTGTTTTGTCTGTGTGCCAGGTGAGCTGTAAATCGTTGTAAATTAGGTCTGTTGGTCTTTTTTTGGCGTTTGTTTAACGTTATCGATCGAATACAGAGACAGCGTCAATTTGAATATAGCTAGGTGCTCAAAGTAGCAAAACAGGCCCTAACTGTGGTAAAACTTAATGGCTTTCAACAGGTTATGACAAAGGTAAAACTATGCTATCCTGTGCTAACCTATTTGCTGTGCATTTTGTCATGCATTTGTACATGTATAATTTATACTGTGTTCAAGACCATGGTACTTGCCTACGGAGCAGCAAGAGGAACTGCCCCTGCCTACCTTCAGGCTCTGCTCAAACCCTACAGCCCAACCCGAGTACTCGGTTCTGCCACCTCTGGTCTCCTGGCCCTCCCACCCCTACGGGAGGGCAGCTCCCGCTCCGCCTAGTCAAAGCTCTTCTCTGTCCTGGCACCCCAATGGTTGAACCAGCTTCCCCCTGAAGATAGGACAGCAGAGTCCCTGCCCATCTTCCGAAAACATATTAACATTATAGCTGCTCTCATCATAAAACAGTCTCTCTCTCTCTCCCTCTCTTTCTCTACCTCTCTTTCCCCCCCTCTCTCTCTCTCTCGCTCTCTCTCTCTCTTTTTCTCTCTATTTTCTCTCTCTCTCTCTCTTTCGCTCTCTCTCTCTCTCTTTCGCTCTCTCACTCACTCTTTCTCGCTCTCTCTCTCTTTCTGTTTCAGGAGTGGGAGCTGGTGGTGCTGGGGAAGTTGAAGTGGAACCTGGCGGCTGTCACACCAAACGACTTCATCGAACATATCGTGAGGAAGCTGCCGTTGCCCGAGGACAAGCTGGCGCTGATACGTAAACATGTGCAGACCTTCATCGCCCTCTGTGCCACAGGTATGTTGCATCCTTTATTGATACTGAAGTCTCACTGGGGGACAATGACAGCCTTTGATTAGAAACATTTATGTCATCAAAAGATGAGCCAATGGGGATGTGGGTTGCCATCTGATATCACTTTTGGCTCCCATGCCACATTTTGTAAGTCAAAACGATAACGGATGTGCTGCCAAGTCAATTAGGTGCTGATGTCTTGCGTCAACATAGTTGCGGCTGTTGCAAAATATCCTTGTCTCTACATCAAAATCTCCTTTCTGAGGAACAATGTCTGGAGGAGACCCCATTCAGGTGGCTTTGTGGCCCCCCCATCATGCGGTGTCGTGATGCCTTGTAACTTAAGTGAGATGTATTACCTCAATGTGAAAATATGTGGGGCTTAGAAAAGCATGTGTCATGGAGGACGTGTCTGTGAGAGTCTCATGTCCACGTCCATCATCTTTCTCTCTTCCGGCTGCGGCGGCTGGTACGGTCATATTCTGAAGGCATATCAGAGGCTAACAGAAAATAGAGTGACACTTCAAAGGGCAGCGGCCTGGTTTAAAGGACATTCCCATGTTCCTGTGTGCTCCGGGACTGAGGGAGGATCTGACGGGGGTGGGACTGGGCATTGTCTCCTCTGCTCTCCAGGGTGGATTGTTTCTTCAAGATCAAACATCGAGTTGTGGGAGTGAGAGGAGATTCTCTAAATATGATCTGAAAAACTGGAGAGGAGGAGGGTAAGAGCAAAGAAAGAAAGGGAGGAGGAGTATATTGTTCCTGCAGTGCCGAATAGTGAGGCATGTCATATTTTCATATCTCTCCGTCTCCCTCTCTTACGCCTCCCTACTGCTTGAGGGCATGATGACTTTCCCATGTTCAGGGAGTGTTTGTGGGGCAGGTTCTCCCAGCACACATTGCTGCAGCAAGGCTCTCCTCTCCCTCCCAGGCCCCTCTGGACTCCACCCCAGGGTCCCATCTCTGGCCCCACATGGGTGAGATCCATGTGGTGTTAGAGGAGTGTGTGTGTATGGATGGAAGGGAGGGAGGGAGCTACGGTGACAGGTCTCTAAACATTGCCACTTTTGATGTGGAATCCCTTTTCTGATTGTGCAATGGATATTGTATGTTGTGAAAGACAGAGCACATTGATGGTCTCCATGGGAACCTGGCTCCATTGTTCTCCGTTTGTCTCTGTCTCTCTCTTTTCCTCCCTCTTTCTCTCTCTCTCTTCATGCTCTCCTTTCTGTTCTGTGCCAATGGAGAGATTACTGTGAGGAACGACTGTGTCAGTGATCGGACCTATTCCCAAAGCAACATTGTGCAAGGCTCCCAGTGCACTTTGTCCACAATTGCTTCAGTGAGGCAGTGGATATACATTTATGAGTCTTGTGGCGGGAGATGTCTTCCTGACATCTTGTAGAAGGTAGCCTTGCTGCAGATAACTAGGATTAGCAGCAGGCCATTTTGTCTGCATACTCTTCTCAGATTTCAGATTCATATCCAGGCAAAGAGCGAGTTGAACAATTTGGTGCATCTGTGGGAATTCAAAACCCATTTTGTGCAACGTTCCCAGCCATAAATCAACTCAACTATCTGGTGAGAATCCTCCCTGAGTATCCCCCTCTAGACATGCTTAGAAGGTGAAGCTGGAGGAGGAAGTTTCTAGGGCTTTGCTATTTGCAAGACAGTTGACAACAGATCACTTGGGGTCTCAGTATTTCATGCATAGAAGTGATTCGACTCACCCCCACCTCCACCCCCTCTTCTTGGAAAAAATCCTCTCATTTTTAATGGTTCCTCTCTTTTCATGGAAAAGTTATGTTCGAGGGACTCTGTGGGGATTTGGTTAGGTGGCTGCGGGCCGGGCGGCACAGGCCGGTTCAGTATTAATTAATAATGAGGGAGGGTTCATTCAGCACTATGCAAATGGGCTAGGGCTCGGCTAGCGGCCGGAGAAAGGAGACAAAGAGCCGGCTCTACATTTCATATGCAGAGGCATGTAAGGGTCAGCACAGCGGGGGCACTCCATAGGAAACACCAGCGTCTCCCCAGGGAAGCTTACAGGATAATGGTGGAGAAACAAGCCCATTAAGGGAGATTATGGCCTCCTTCTTCCACAGAGAATCTGTGACCCTGTTTTAGGAAGGCCACCAAAAATTCTGAAATTTCCATCCCCAACTATAACATTTTCCGTCTAGATAGAACTGCCAAAGGGGGTGGAGTTGCAATCTACTGTAGAGATAGCCTGCAGAGCTCTATCATACTATCCAGGTGTCACGTTCGCTTACAGACAGGTCAGACCAAGGCGCAGCGTGATATGCGTACATGTTTATTAAATATTAAACACAACGACAAAACAACAAACAAAACGAAACGAAATGAAACGTGAAGTCCAAGGCAGCACAACACAACATACCTTAACTGGAACAAGATCCCACAACACACTAGTGCCAATAGGCTGCCTAAGTGTGGTACCCAATCAGAGACAACGAGCGACAGCTGCCTCTGATTGGGAACCACACCGGCCAACATAGAAATACAAATCCTAGAATATACAACATAGACAATCACCACATAGAAAATACACACCCTGACTCAACAAATAAGAGTCCCCAGAGTCAGGGCGTGACAGTACCCCCCCCCAAAGGTGCGGACTCCGACCGCACAACATAAACATAACAGGGTAGGGGCTGGGTGGGCATTCCGCCTCGGAGGCGGATCCGGCTCAGGGCGTGACGACCTCTCACTCTTCGCCTCCCTGTTGCGCCCCTGGTCTGGTCTAGACCTCGGCGCGTTGCTTCCCCTCTCCTTCCTCCCACTATACTCCAAGCCCTGTCTGGACCCTGGTGTGGGAGACCCCGAACCTGGAGAGGGGCTGACGTCTGGGTCTGGACTGGAGCCGCTGACCGGAGCTGGACCGGGCACCGGTGGAGCGGACTACTCAGGCTCCGGACTGGAGCCGCTGACCGGATCTGGACTGGACCCCGGTGGAGCGGACTGCTCTGGCTCCGGAGTGGAGCAGCTGACCGGAGCTGGATCAGGCACCGGTGGAGCGGACTGCTCTGGCTCCGGAGTGGAGCCGCTGACCGGAGCTGGACTGGACCCCGGTGAAGCGGATTGCTCTGGTTCCGGAGTGGAGCAGCTGACCGGAGCTGAACTAGGCACCGGTGGAGCGGACTCCTCTGGCTCCGGAGTAGAGCAGCTGACCGGTGCCGAACCAGGCATTGGTGGAACAGGCACGGGCCGTGCCGGACTGGACACACGCACCACTGGCTTGGTGCGAGGAGCAGGAACAGGCCGGGCCGGGCTGGCGATGCGCACCACTGGCTTGGTGCGAGGGACAGGAACAGGCCGGACCGGGCTGGCGACGCGCACCACTGGCTTGGTACGAGGGGCAGGAACAGGCCGGGCCGGGCTGGCGACGCGCACCACTGGCTTGGTGCGAGGGAGGGGAACAGGCCGGACCGGGCTGGCGACGCGCACCACTGGCTTGGTGCGAGGCAGGAACAAGGACGGACCGGGCTGGCGACACCCACCACTGGCTTGGTGCGAGGGACAGGAACAGGCCGGACCGGGCTGGCGACGCGCACCACTGGCTTGGTGCGAGGGGCAGGAACAGGCCGGACCGGGCTGGCGACGCGCACCACTGGCTCGGTGCAAGGGGCAGGAACAGGCCGGGCTGGGCTGTCCCCCCTCAGCCCCCAGCTGTGCCCTGGACACCATATGTGAATTGATTGCCCCCCATTTATCCTCAGAGTTCATACTGCTTGGTGACCTAAATTGGGATATGCTTAACACCCCGGCCATCCTACAATCCAAACTAGACGCCCTCAATCTCACACAAATTATCAACGAACCTACCAGGTACAACCCTAAATCCGTAAACATGGGTACCCTCATAGATATCATCCTGACTAACTTACCCTCTAAATATACCTCTGCTGTCTTCAACAAGGATCTCAGCAATCACTGCCTTATTGCCTGCGTCCATAACGGGTCCGCGGTCAAATGACCACCCCTCATCACTGTTAAACGCTCCCTAAAACACTTTAGCGAGCAGGCCTTCCTAATTGACCTGGCCCAGGGATCCTGGATGGATATAGATCTCATTCCGTCAATATAGGATGCCTGGTTGTTCTTTAAAAGTAATTTCCTCTCTATCTTAAATAAACATGCCCCATTCAAAAAATACAGAACTAAGAACAGATATAGCCCCTGGTTCTCCTCAGACTTGACCGCCCTTGACCAGCCTATGTCAACATCCTGTGGCGTACTGCATTAGCATCAAATAGCCCCCGCGATATGCAACATTTCAGGGAAGTTAGGAACCAATATACACAAGCAGTCAGGAAAGCAAAGGCTAACTTTTTCAAACAGAAATTTGCATCCTGTAGCACTAACTCCAAAAAGTTTTGGGACACTGTAAAGTCCATGGAGAATAAGAGCACTTCCTCCCAGCTGCCCACTGCACTGAGGCTAGGAAACACTATCACCACCGATAAATCTACAATAATCGAGAATTTCAACAAGCATTTTGCTACGGCTGGCCATGCTTTCCACCTGGCTACCACTACCCCGGCCACCAACTCTGCACCCTCCGCTGCAACTTTCCCATGCCCCCCCCCCCCCCGCTTCTCCTTCACACAAATTCAGACAGCTGATGTTCTGAAAGAGCTGCAAAATCTGGACCCCTACAAATCATTTGGGCTAGACAATCTGGACCCTTTCTTTCTAAAACTAGCCGCCGAAATTGTCGCAACCCCTATTACTAGCCTGTTCAACCTCTCTTTCGTAACGTCTGTGATCCCCAGAGATTGGAAAGCTGCCGCGGTCATCCCCCTCTTCAAAGGGGGTGACACTCTAGATCCAAACTGTTACAGACCTATATCCATCCTGCCCTGCCTTTCGAAAGTATTTGAAAGCCAAGTTAACAAACAGATCACCGACCATTTCGAATCCCACCGTTACTTCTCCGCTATGCAATCCGGTTTCCGAGCTGGTCATGGGTGCACTTCAGCCACGCTCAAGGTCCTAAACGATATTATAACCGCGATCGATAAGAGACAGTACTGTGCAGCCGTCTTCATCGACCTGGCCAAGGCTTTCGACTCTGTCAACCACCGCATTCTTATTGGCAGACTAAATAGCCTTGGTTTCTCAAATGACTGCCTCGCCTGGTTCACCAACTACTTCTCAGATAGAGTTCAATGTGTCAAATTGGAGGGCCTGTTGTCTGGACCTATGGCAGTCTCTATGGGGGTGCCACAGGGTTCAATTCTTGGGCCGACTCTTTTCTCAGTGTATATCAATGATGTCGCTCTTGCTGCTGGTGACTCTCAGATCCACCTCTACGCAGACGACACCATTTTGTATACATTAACAAACCTCCAAACGAGCTTCAATGCCATACAACACTCCTTCAGTAGCCTCCAACTGCTCTTAAACACTAGTAAAACTAAATGCATGCTCTTCAATCGAACGCTGCTGGCACCCGCCCACCCGACTAGAATCACTACTCTCGACGGGTCTGACCTAGAGTATGTGGACAACTACAAATACCTAGGTGTCTAGTTAGACTGTAAACTCTCCTTCCAGACTCACATTAAGAATCTCCAATCCAAAGTTAAATCTAGAATCGACTTCCTATTTCGCAACAAAGCCTCCTTCACTCATGCTGCCAAACATGCCCTCGTAAAACTGACTATCCTACCGATCCTTGACTTCGGCGATGTCATTTACAAAATAGCCTCCAACACTCTACTCAGCAAATTGGATGTAGTCTATCACAGTGCCATCCGTTTTGTCTCCAAAGCCCCATACACTACCCACCACTGTGACCTGTACGCTCTTGTTGGCTGGTCCTCACTACATGTTCGTCATCAAACCCACTGGCTCCAGGCCATCTATAAATCACTGCTAGGCAAATCCCCGCCTTATCTTAGCTCATTGGTCACCATAGCAGCACCCACCCGTAGTCTGCGCTCCAGCAG